GGAGTGAAAGGAGCAGTTGTCTGGAAAGGTTGCTCCCTAAGTTCTCAAAGACTAGCAATTAAAAAAAATGCAAAACTAGCCTCTACGGTAATATCCTTATTAACTATAATGTAGTCAAGCAAGGCACGCTCCAGTTCCATTTGCTTCTCGCTGAAGGTCATCTAAATATACTCGTTTGAGTAATGCTATGAATAAAAAAAAACATAAAAATTCTAACTTTTGGTGAACCAATGACACAGCAAGCGACAAAAAATAGGAAAAAAGAGCAAGTAGGAAAAAAGAAGCAAACTGGGGAGTTTACTAAAATTGTCACAGTAATGGGAAGACTGGTAGGGTAAAGACAAATAATACTAAGGACATGAGCACGCTAGTCACACCCAACATAAATCAAAAAGTGATAATAAGGAGAATAGTGGAAGAACAGGAGAAAGGGAGTGAAGAGGAAACGAGTAAGCATAAAGCTCTCCGTATCTGTGTAGCATTCACCTAGTTGTACCCAGGTACACAAAACATTTTATTACAAAGGGAAATTCGTTTCTGACTATACTCACCCTCACCATTTTCATTGCCAATATTCAAAAGCGTATTACTGTCCTGATGAAGGTATTACGAAGCTTGCTGTTTCATCAGCCTATTCTTCCGCCCTTTTGTTCATTAGCATGTCGGAATGCCACCACAGAATTCGACAGGATTTCGAAATGGGTGGGAGATTGATTAAAATGTAGGGACCACAAGTGGGTGAGAGCCTCGCTCCCAGTGGATGGAGCACCAAGGTGAACCGTACTTGAGGCAAGAAACCACAATTCGGGTCCACACAAAAGAAAATGGAAAACAAGTTAAGCAGCGCGCCTGTGAATGAGACGACAAAACCAAATGAAGCAAGCAAGGAGTACTGTAAAAGTGCGGTGTTTACAACAAAAATTCGGAGTTCGATTCTTACAGTCAGAAGAACAGGTGGGTGGTGTTTGAAATTTGTTGAATATAGCTGATATAACTGCAGTCTAATCTAGAGTAGTCATTCTAACAAACCGGTAAGACCGCTATCGCCGGTGATGGAGAAACTTCAGGTGATTACAGCACGTAAAGTGAGTGCCAAGGCGAAAGGGATTAGGATCGAAGAATTGATCTGCTTTAACACATTCCCATCAAACCCGGGGTGATGCCGTGGTGAGCGGGCGTGAAAATATAAAATGAGAACAGAAGGTCGACTTCGATGGGAACATGTACTGCGGAGGAAAATGAATAACAAACGTTCATAGTGGTGAAAAGATAGATGAATTCTGATGAAAACAAAAAATAACATTAAATAGATGATGAAAGAAAACATCGCCGTTTACAAAGAACGTACGTCGGAAATATCGACGTCGGCTACACTTGGCCACAGAGATGTTCCATCCTCTTGCACATTATCCTCGTATTTGATGGTTTTCACCACAAGCTAAAGTCAGACATACGGTGAGCGTTAGAAAACGGATAAAGATTATACAAGAAAAAGTGAAGAATATGTAAAGGTAGTTACTCTTCGAGCAATGGTGCAAGACTTGCTGAGCGCGGGCAATGGAAGCAAGGAAAATGAATGGCTGGTGAAAAGAGGTAACAACCAATCATGCGGCTCTTTTAGAATCTTTCTTAACCATATCAGGCGTGCTTCTCTCAAGACGCGGACGGTGATCAAACCGAGAGATATTCGAGACTGACCGTCCGAATTGCAATATCTGCGCTCTTGTTCCTTCAAATTCAAGAATTTTCCTCATTAATAAGATCTACGTTGGGAAAACTGTTAAAACACACTCACCGGCAGTTTTTGACAAGAAGATTACCCACAACCTGCAGAAACATTTCGGCCGCAGGGAACTCCGGTTTATTAAAGGCAGTTAGCATGTCTTGTAGGAAGCTATCGAAGAGCGCACGATAGTCTTCTTCACCCTCGTTCTTGTTTCCCTTCGATGAACACCTGATAAAAGCTATACAATTCACTGAGAAAACAAGGAAATAAGAGTAATTTACGGTTGATTTTCGCGACTCACCGCCTCAATGATTCTTACGTCATACTAAAAAAATGTATATGTTTGTTAAAAATGCACTTAAAACCCTTCCAAATGATGCAGCAAAGGCTTGTGGGCGATCCTCCGTTCTAGCAGGCTTCCGGATGCTCGTAGTTCGTGGTTTTCAAAACTTACGTTATATTTATTTTCAATACAAAAGCGCGTTTGTAGTGAAGCACTGCCTATGCAAATTCTATGCAAAGCTTGCGAGCAAACTTTGCGAAAAGCAACATCTGGGATAGACTGATTCTAAGCTATCCCCTAGTCGCTGATACTGTGACATTGACAAGCATTACCCCCGATGACTTGCCTCAAAAATGAGGGCCGTCAAGATAGCAAAATGCGATCCTAATAAAGACATCAAGATTCTCCAAAGTAGCCGTGATTCTCCAAATTATCACTTTTGCCACACTCTGCTATCACCTCTTATCAGAAGAGGCCAGAGCCCTGTTCAGCACAGACCTCAGTTCATGATGTATACATCAAGGCAGTTTTTGAAGTACAAACCTGCTGAGAAAGCCAGATGCGAAAGCTTGAGCAAGCGTCTGCACTTCTTTATATGTAGTAGGAACAACAGAGTCAGACTGCATGACCGGCTCGGAATCAGGGTCATCGTTGTGATCTCCCTTGTGATGAACTCTTTCAGGTATCTTAAAAAGAAAGACGAATAAGCGGAACGAATAACAAGATACAAATCAAAAAACGAAAATAAATGAATAAAGGCAGCCTTACTCTAACAACGCTCTGCAGAAGTTGGAGCACAAGCACTGTAGTATTGCTTATCCACTGATCTGGACCGAATCTGTAACCATTGTTCGCATTACGACCACATGGAGAACGATGAAGGGAGTTCAAGATGTCGTTCAGCATTCCCATACGCACGTGTTCTTTTGCATTCGTGAAAATGTTCGCTGCCAAATTACATGCCTAGAAAGATTCAGTAGAGAGTACCGAAAACGAAGCAAATAAACGAGAAAAACTGCTAAAAGATGCCCACATTTTGCTGCAGTTCTCCAACATTGTTCACAAAGAATGCTTGGATAGATATTGAAGCGAGGTGATGAAGGCACATTTCTGCAAGTTCAGTTTGGCGTACCTGAAATTGGACATTCATGAAACTCTCATGTTGATATTGTAAGGTACAAAAGAAAATAAAAGACGAAAATTAATCACGAACGAGATTCGAAAAGCTATGAACAAGATCAGTCATTCTGGAATACAGCAACTGCACAGTTGGAGATCGCTGAACATGCTCGATCTTTTTTCGTCGCTTTTCATCCGCTGAAAAATGCACTTTGTGCGCTATTGAAAAAAAAACTTCAATTTCAATTACATGGGTATACAGCACCGGTTCTTTCACAACACGGATAACTTTTTTCTTTCTATTGCAGAGCGAAGGTAGGAGAAAAAAGGCATGTTCGGAGGATAGTTCATGTAATTTTTGCTTACTTATTAGGTGGTCATAATGCGTAGCATTTGCATTCAGCACAAACACTTGAAATAAGGAATAAAAAAGAAGAACCATTCGATGCTGAGCCCTTCGTCAATGTTTACAACTTTGATGCCTTTTCGTAAAAACTCAAATTCAGGAATAAAAGATATCGAGCTCATTTTCCAACTCATTATTCCCGATTTCCACAATGTAAATATGGTTTGAACCGAGCGAAGGTAAAATCAAATGGAGGAAGGTCCCATTAACAAGCTGGTTTTTGTCATTTAAGAAACCATAGAATACCAGCTGTCAGAAACGTTAATTTAAGCAGACTTTCCACTACTAAGCATTTTTGAATAGCATTAAAGTATCGAAGAACATGATAAATAAGGTGTTGTAGAACACAAGAAAATACTCCCCACTTCGCACCTGCTTTATCACCATGTCCATTCTAAATGCTATCTGTTTATATTAGAATGCCTTTAGACTCCTCAGCCAGCTCATCAAATTATCAGCATAACTTCTAATATTCGGAACTTATTACAGGTAAGAAAAAAACAAGAAATAGCAAAAAAAAAAGCAAAATGCCACATATTCCACTGCAGAGACTATTTATCATTGTCTCGGAAGAGAAAAACACCGATGGTTCCGAGAATCCTCTTAAAAATCTTTCGTAGAAGAGAATCGCTGATAATCTCGTAATCAACGTACGTGTAAAATGGAAGTAAAGCGATATTCAAAAAAGATCAGAACCTTTCTGTTTCCTTCCTGGTCCATATAAGGGATCCGACGCAGGGTAGACAATACTTCTCAAATAATGTCGACAGAGATTGATGGAGCGCTCGATAGCATCCTCTATATAAACCTGGGAAACAGCAAATATTAAACGGTTGATCACATATACAACAGATGTGAGGATAAATATGAGGAAATGTGAGGAACCTGTTTTGGCATTTTATGGCAAGTCATGATCATCAATGTTGTACATGCAGCATCGGCACCGCGAATTAGACGATCATCAAGAAGTTCACGGAGAGCCTGGTCGTCTTCTTCGCCATCCTGTAGAAAAATTGAAAACAGTATGAGTAATTTTACCAGACAAACTTCCAAATATAAAGCGAAAGCAATGCACCCTCAAACACAAGAAAGCAAACCAAACACTAACGTCATCAGCAATTATTGGGACAAGGAGACGAGTGCCGTCAGAGCTTACAACGTCGCGCATATTCCGCTCCAAAATGGTAATCAGTTTTATGAGCCGATCAGACGGTATCTAAACGGATATTTAAAAGCCTGGTGAAGTTCACCTATGATTCAGGTTTCCAGAAAACTTACTGTCGTCAGCTTTTTCCATGTGAGCAGCTTCTGCACTTCATTGCGTAGATCATCCACTACCGAACGATCTACCAGTAATTCCTGACTGACACCCTCATCGTCATCGTCCCCATCCTCATCTGAAATAAGCGTTATGATCAGGGCGTGATGATAATGAGAACTGTTGTTTACCTTTCCCATTTTGCTCTATGTTCATCATATCTATATCTTCGACCTGATCAAAAATCTGATCAATGATCACATTCAGACGAGCTCTTGAATCATGTTCTGCCATAACCTGTAAACAAAAGAAAATAGTGAGGGAAAATTACTCGCGAGGCAACACGGTATTTCTTCAGAAAGGTTCATCAATTCGTCCTCAGAGAGATAAATAGAAAACTAGAAATGGGACTATCAGTCATGGCTTTTTCAGACGTGCTGCACATATTCTTTAATATCTTAAACTGGTGCCATTTATATCCACCTGTCATTTCCCCCAACCCTGAACCGTTCTTTTGGGAAAGCACTTCTATCGATACTGCCAGTGCAAGCCAGAGTTGATCAAAGTCAGCAGTTTCTTGCACATCTAACTCAATCCTAATTAAACAGAAGCAATGCGAAATTTAAGAAGAGGCCCACAGACAACCAATATGATGTTTCAAGAAACACTCAGCTTTAAGAGCTCTGCTTCAAAAGTTAAGTTGCTGAATAACTATAAATGTGAATATATTGATTATTAACACATTGCGGACCGCCGTTGTACGAGTGTTTTCGGATCTTTTTTATATTTTTCAAAAATGTATCATCATTAATCTATCAACAATTTTATCAGTGATGACACGTATGGTTTCCGGCTCTGAAAATGAGTGCAACAGTTCAGAAGCATTGAAAAATGTCAAATAAATCAGATAAAACTATGCTGTTTCGTGCGAAATCGTGCGCCACCATGGTGGCGCACGCGGTACGCAATGTGTTAAATAGTGATGAGCAACAACAAGTGACAACAAGTAAAACCATTGTAACTGAACACGAGTCACCACTCTAAAAAAATCAAACAAAAGAATCTCTAACCACAATGTGATAAACTCACATCATTATTCCAACATTCCTGATCACTTTCGTTACCCTTCCGTCGCCTGAATTTTTCTTGCCGTTTTCGTTGTCGCTCTGTCCATTCTTGATCACGTTTTTGTATGACTAGAAAAAATTTCACAATTAGGGAGCTTTGGAGGTTTTTGCGTGGAGAGTTACCATCAGTTGGAGTAGGAGGCCTTTCAGGGAACATCGTCTTTCTTCTTTCTGCGCCGGTCTTTCTTCTCATAGAACTTGCGATCGTCATCACTTGTGTCTCCAAGCTTATGATCATCGCTATGCTC